GGCCTGAAGGGCCATGCTGTAAAAGCTCAGTTACTCCACAGAGGAATATTCAGAGCCAGGTGAGTGATCTGAAATCCCCATGTGTGCCCAAGCAGAGGTTGGACRTGGTAAATGATGTTTAATGAGTGCAGGAAGGAGTTTTCTGAATCCCTGTAAAAATGTTAGTAATTAATTCCATGTTCTGTTCAAGCTGGAACAGGTAAAATAAAACTGGAGTTTTTTTAGGTATTGAGTAAGTTATTTAAGTTCTTTAAAACCTGTTAAATTTCCTACATAAAATTCTCATGGCAATTTTGGTCATTGCTCTGCCTGCTGAAGTAGCCACTGAACGAGTTTGTACAACTCAGACGCCAAGTTCTGCTGGAAAACCTTGTTTTTAACAGGAGGTTGTTTTCTGACAAGCCTTGAGCTTCTCTCTTGCTGCTTTCCAGCTTTTCCGCCGTGTGGCTGCTGCCTTACCTGGGATGGACAGCACACCAGAGAAGAGCAAAGAAGACAGTATCCTTGCTTTTCCCTGGAATTGGGCAATTATCTGGTGTTCAGTTGGGTTTAATGACTTTTTTTGGCACATTGTGGGGATGGGTTTTGCAGCCCTGGCTGAAACAGGGCATGGAGCTGTGTGAGTGTGTCCCAAGGAGGCCCCAAGGTGAGCAGAGGGATGGAGCAGCTCTGCCCTGAGGAAAGGCTGGGAAAACTGGGATTGTTCAGGCTGGGGAAGAGAAGCTTTGGGGTGACCTAACTGGGGACTTACAGGACCTGAAGGAGCCAACAAGAAAGATGGAAATGKAGTATTTACAATGGCTTAAAGTGCCGGGACAAGGGGGAATGGCTTCCCACTGCCATTGGGTTAGGTGGGATATTGGGAAGGAATTCTTCCCTGTGAGGATGGCGAGGCCCTGGCACAGGATGCCCAGAGAAGCTGTGGCTGCCCCTGGATCCCCGGAAGTGTCCAAGGCCAGGTTGGACAGGGCTTGGAGCACCCTGGGATAAGGGAAGGTGTCCCTGCCTATGGCAGGGGCTGTCACTGGGTGATATTTAAGGTACTTTCAACCCAACCCATCCTGGGATTGTATGACCCTGTTTATGCCAGGGTTTGTAACTGCTTTTTTCCAGTTGGGCTCCATCCCCAGAAAAGTCTCTCCATGTCCCTGGCTTTGCAGTGAACCCTGTGCAGGCAGGCCATGGAGAGGCACCAAACAACCCTTCCAGATCCTGTTCTGGGGGATTCCTTGACTGTCCCTGCAGTGATTGACATCAAACTAGAGAAGCCCCCCGAGCAGCCAGTCACGGAGAGCGGGTGCTCCTGCTAACAGCCCCTGCCAGCAGCACCCCTGCCCGGCCGGGCTCCCTGGAGAACATCCCGCTCATTGCCACCCCTCTGGGGCTGGAAAACCATTCCTAAGCGAGCGAATCCCTGTGTACTGGTGGGGAGCAGCCCCGGCCGCCCCTCTCACTGCATGGTTTGAGCCCTGAGTGCAGAATGAGTGTCCTGTCTTTTGAGTTTATTTTTTTATGTTGTTGCACTTTGGCACCACGGTGCCCTTCACACTCTCTCCCCTCTCTCTCCCTTCCTCCCTTTCTCCCCCTGTTCCCACCTGGAGCCTCCCTGCTCAGATGTATCTTGTGAATGCCATGGAAAAGCTGCCGGGTTAGGGAAGACAAAAAATGAAGCTTTGGGGGGTGGGTTTTCCACCTTCCCTCCTGCCTTGCATCCTCCCCCCRCCCTCTCCAGCCCCCTGTCCTGCATCCCCACTTCCTCTGGTGAAAGGCTGCTCCTTAAACCAGTCACTTGGACTTGCCTTTTTAGACTCTGCAGGTTCCCTGTTCCCAGGCTTTGCTTCCCGCAGGGCACACACCCCATGAGCTCCCTGGTTTCTCCTTCCCGTGGATGATCCTGGCTAACTCCTGCTCACAACTTCCCAGTTTTGCTCCTCGTGTCACACAGGGCCCTGGAAAGCCCCAAACTCTGAGAGCTTTGGCCCTGTTGCTCCCCTTTGTGTAGCAGGGACATCCCAGAGCCTGCTCCCCTCGGCTGGAATCTCTTCCCATCCAGAGGATGTTGGTGAGTGTTGGCTGCAGATGTGGGGGAAGAGGAGGAAYGGAGGCTTTGCAGCCCGAGGCTGGGTGGAGAGAGATCCTCAGGGATTTTGGAAGCAGTGACCTGGAATCCATCACTGCAGGGGCAGTACCTGCCCTGGGAGTCATGGATGCTCCTCAGGCTCCTTCCCTGATCTCCATTCTCCTGTTGCGCTTCACGTGGAGCAGGAGAGCCATAYCAGAGGGAAGGGCAACATTCCACTCTCATTCCCAGGTTGCTGCTTGATGGAATCGTTCCCATTTCCTCTGCCCTTGGAGCAGAGCTTTGGGATGGGACCAGCAGCTGTATCATTCCTGGGGCAGTTTTAACYTTTGCCAAAGCTGAGGGGAGCAGTGGCAGGGAATTCCTGTCACAGTGGGTGGAGGATTGGATGYTGCTGAAGGGAATTCTGGTGTCACTTCCCAAACTCAGAGGTTGGGAATTGCCTCTTCTCCCCCTGCCCCTGGTTTTGAATTAATTCACAGAGCTTTTCGGAGATTCCCTGGGGTTTTWGGGCCCACCACAAGTTGGTTTGCCAGTCAGCAGAGAGGAGAATTTCACTGTCCTTTCCCCACCAGCTTATGTGACATGGAGGATGCTGGGGGTGGGACAGTGACCACAATGTGACCACAGTGGAGGGTCAGTGACACTCCCTCCCTTCCCCTGGCAGGGTGTCCCTTAGTCCCTGACACSGTGTGTGACCTGAGGGTGGGAAGGGACAGTCCTGGCAGCATGTCACCCAGTTCCCCAGAGTCCCTTCCCCTCCCCTCCGGGCCAGCTGGCTGCAGGAGGAAGCTGGGATGTGATTCCCCGTTCCCYGTCCCCGTCGGGAAGCTGATCCCATTCCCTGTACATAGCCCATTGTGGGAATTGCTGGTGTCGGTGTCCGTGTCTGTAGAACAGGTGTTGCTGTCCCTCCTCACAGGCAGCTCTGCTGTCCCTTCGTGTTGTTCGAGTCACGGACCGGGGCGGGAGGGGGGAGACCCCAATTCCGGGGCGGGGGGTAATTAGTGGAATCCAATAGTTCCCTTCCCACTGTTTTTCTGGATGTGTTCCTGCCGTGTGTCCGGCCCCGCTGTCCTGTAGCTGTAGCGAGTAAGTGTGACTGTAACTCTGAGTAAGGACTGTGTGACACAGCCACAGTGTATCACTAAATAAATAAAGTTATTTCACCAACACTGCGCTCTCCTGCTGCCACAGCCCGGGGAAACGGGTGACAAAAAGGGGTTTGCTCCGAGGTGTGACATTCCTGTCCTGAGTAGGGGTGGAGGAGGAGCCGGGGAGAGGATGGAGGAAGAGGAGGAGGAGGAGGAAGGGAAGAGGAGAGGATGGAGGAGAGAACAGATGAGAAAGGAAGGATGGAAGAACAAGAGAAGAGATGGAAGAGGAGAAGGAGGGACAGAGGAGGAGGAAGATTGGAGGAAGGAAAAATGGAGAAAGAAGGATGGAGAAGGAGGAATGGAGGAGGTAGGAAGAGGAGGAGGGAGGAGAAAGCACTACGCTGACATTGTTGCAAAATGTGGAATATGTAACAATTCTCTCAGGAAAGGCTCTTWGGTATTTGATGTTTGTTTACTTTCAAGCCTTATCAGCAAAAAAGGAGATTTAATCAGTGAAACTGAGCAGCCAGTGAGCTGGCAGTGAAGTCCAGGTGTTGGAAGSACAAGTGACTTGTGGGTGGAATTGCCTCGGTGAGGGTTAGGGCTGGATGTGCTTCCATGATCTCAGCCCTGAGGGAGATTGGGAAGAAGGATCCCTATTTTGGGATAACAACAGGACCCTGTGGATCCAARCCTGAGTCTGAACAGAACCAGGAGCACATGGGCACAGAGAGGAGCCCTCAGGTGAGACCTGCCCTGCAACACGCCTGGGACTGATCCTGCTGCTCCCAAAGGACCTGCAGGGCCTGTGCCAGTGCTGCTTCCCTGCCCAGGGAGTCATTGACAGCCTGGACCCCTGGCAGTGTTCCTGCATTCCTGGAAGTGTCCAAAGCCAGGTTGGACAGGGCTTGGAGCAACCTGGAGTTGTGGAAACTGTCCCTGCCCATGGCAGGGGATGGGACTGGATGATCTTGAAGGTCCTTCCCACCCAAACCATTCCATGATTCTATACATTTGTGCCTCTCAGCTCAGTTTTGCCAGTCACTAAAAAATTCCAATATTGCTGGAACTGTTTTCCCACCAGGAATCAGCAGCTCTGAGTTCTGAAGGATGAAATGGACTGTGGTGGCCTTAATGCTTTGCTAATGAAGATAACCAAGATGTGAATGAGCCTTGGAAAGAATCCACTCCKTCCTGTCAGCCAGGTCAGCAGGAAAACACCTGAGTCATTCCCTGAGAGTTAGGGCAGGGAGGAGCTGCCCGGGGCAGAGGAGACATTCCTGCAGCTCCTGCCAGGGAATGCTCTGAAGCAAGAGGGACAAATTGAGCATTGAAATTGTATCTGCAGCTCCCTGGGGAGAGAGCTCCTTTCCCTGTGGGAGTTGTGGGAAACCAGTGTGAKATCAGAGAGGAGATACAAGAGCTCTCCTTCCCCTTCCCAGGGTGTTGCAGGGGCTCCCAGGATGTTCCTTGCCCTGGTGGAAAAGCTGATTTTTAATTTTGAGTGAAAACCTCTTTTCCAGTGTCTTTTCCTCCTCCCCAGCCTGGCTCAGGGCCGTGCCCTCCCCTGCTCCTGGAGTTGTGCTGGTGCCACCACAGCCAAAACCCTGCCCCRCTCCTGCCTGGCAGTGCTGGAACACTCTCCAGGTTAATCAGGAACTGATTGCCAGTAGAGCCAGTGGAAAAAGCCCCTGAAACAGTGGCAGATCCCAAATTCCTCCTGCAGGCTGCAAGGGTGACTGGAGCTGAGCTTTGTCCCAGCATTTCCTTGTTTGGGTACATCCCAAACTCCACACAGATTTCCTGAGGTGGAATAAGCTGGATTCAGGTTGTTGTATTCGATTTATTGATTGTTTTTACAGAAAAAAAAGTGGAAAATACCGCAAGGAAGAGAAGGCCAGAGCCAAGGCTGTCCTGAAGCCACTACAAGGTGATCCCACCCGGAATTTGCACATGGATTTGCCAATAATCAACATGCTTCCGTGGTGATTAACTTTTCCAAACTTCCCAGCCCTGTATCRTGGGGTTTTTTTTCAGCACAGAGGCACAAACAGCCAGAGCTGGGCACAGATGAGGGTGGATTTTACTCCTGGAGTTCCAAGCAAACCCAGCAGTGCAGAGCAGAGGTGGGACAGAGGAGAATGAAAGAATTCCATAACACAACAGAGCAGAACGRGTGGATTTCTTAGAGGACAAGGCCTGTGCTCTGCTCAGGAATGCTCAACAACCAAGGATCCAGGATCAGGGGATCCAGAACAAGCCCAGAACTCACTTAAGTCTTGCTAAAACCTGCTGCCCACCAGGACCCACTTCAGCTTTTTCCAACACCCATTCCCAGGAGCACAGCCTCAATCCCCATCCATCTTCCAGCCCAATGAGCCCCTTGGCATCTCTCCACGTGGGAAAGAGCTGATCCTGTGCAGGACAGTGGTGCCTCCAGTGAAAGCTGAACYGTGAGGTGTCATTTCAGACGTTGGGAAAAAGGAGTGGAGAGGTTTTTGCAGGATGAAGCTCCYTGTTAGTGAACAGTCCGTTCCTTCTGCCGCTGGTAATCTGGGAGGGAGGGAGGGACAAGGGCCAGGGGGAATTAACCAAAATGTTAAGGAAAACACATATTTCTAGGCTGAGGCAGCATTTGAGATCCTCTGGCTTTAAAAGTGCACCCCAGCAGTCATTTCAAGTGATTTTAGGGCATTTAGAACTAAAGGTTTGTTCAAAACCCCCTCTTCCCCTTCTCCTTGTTTTTCTTCTTAATGGCTACTTTCTCTTTTATGAAGAATCGTTCTTTGGCTTGACTTCATCCTTTTTTTTTTTTTCCTTAAATCTTGGAACTTTATGGGTGCAGAAAGAGAAGCTGGGAGTTAACCCAGTCCTTCCCTTCACAATTCAAACATCCTTAGGGAGGGATAGCCACCGCTGGCACTTGTGCCAGAGCTCATTCTTGTGTTATTCAAGGATAATTAGCTACTTCTTCAGCTCTAAATTAACTTTTCCATTCCCCAGCCATCCCATCTTCCTGCTCTCCAAGTCTCTCTCTGCAGGCACATGAAGCCAGTTTTCATTATCCTGATGTGGTGCCTGATCCCAAATCACCACTGTCTATGACCCTGGGCTGCTGAACTCAGGTGGAACTCACAGGGATTTATGGAATTTTGCTTCCCAAGGAACATTCCAGGTGTCTGGACTGGGCACTTACTGTAGGGGAAGTACCGGACACGCATYGTGATCTCCCGTGCTGTCTTCAGGATCTCCACTGCCTGGAAAACAAGGAAAGAAGATTCCATGGTTTCCATGCTGGGCTGAGAGGCTGCAAAGAGGTGGATTCCCCATCCCAGCACTCACCTTGCTGTGCTCAATGTCCTGGAAATCCACATCGTTCACCGAGAGCACCTGRTCCCCCTCCTGCAGCCCGGCCCTGTGAGCATCCGAGTCGGGAATAACCTGGGAAGGCAGAGCAGGGATGGCAGCAGTGGATCTCCCACAGCTCCCCTCCCACCCGGCCSTGAGGAGCAATTCCAGGGGCTGGGAAGCCAGGAAGTGGTGCAGGATGTTCTGATGGCTTTGTGGCAAATCCCAGCCCTGAGCTCAGGGGGATGTGAGGCAGCCACAGCCTCCCTGCACACCCAGCCRGCTCAGCAGCTCCCACGGGAACAGACAGGATCCGGGAGGGAATGGCACAAGGATGGACACACCTTGGAGATGAAGATTCCCAGCTGCGAGGCTTTTCCTCCGCGGATGTTGAAGCCCAGCTGTGGAAAAATCCAGCAGGGAAATGCAGTCACCAGGACCCTTCCCTTGGCCCAGTTCTCTGGACTCTTCTCCCTTTTCAGGACCCTTCCAATTCCCAGGACCCTTCTCCCTGCTCTGTCTTCGGGATGGATCCAAGGTGTGGCTGCTGCAGTGCTCAGCCAGGCAGCAGCACCAGCCCCCCCAAATTCCTGTCACCGGGAACACCCGCGATCTCCGCTCCCATCCTCCAGCAGCTCCACATCCCACGATACCACACGGGGAGCAATCCCTCCCCCTGCCCACTAATCTGGAACGTGCCACCCTGCCCGCCCCACGCCTGTCACAGCAGATCCCGGTGCCAGGACGCTGCCAGTCGGGAATATCGCATTCCCAGCGCGCTTTTTGCCCTAAAACACTCAGAGAAAGCGACACCTCACCCAGGCAGCGCCGGGCCGGCGCCGCCCGCCTCACCTGCGCTCCGGGCGGCTTCTTGAGCACGATGGTGCGGGGCAGGAACTGCGTGAGCTCGTTGTTGTAGTCGGGGTGATACACGCGCTGCGGGGGACACACAGCGCCTCAGGCGGGGCCGAGCCGGGCCCCGCGCTCGGAGGGGCCCCGCGACCGCCGCCCCCGTCCCGTCCCGTTCCACCGCTCCCCCCGGGCCGGGCTGACCTCGTGCGGCGGGACCCAGGCGGGCGGGCTCTCGTAGGGCGGCAGGAAAACCACCGGGAAGTCGTCGTACGGCACCCGGCCCTCCATGCTGCCGCTCCGCCGGGACGCGCCCCGCCCGCGACGCACCGCGCTGCGATTGGCTGCGGCCCGCCCCTCGCCCCGCCCCTCATGACGCACCCGCACCCCATTGGTTCCGCCCCTCCCNCGCACCCGCACCCCATTGGTTCCGCCCCTCCCATCGCCCCGCCTCTCACGCTGTCCCACCCCCCACCCCCCGGTTGATCCCGCCCCCATTGACGCTCCGCTTCGCGATTGGCTGTAGCCGCGCCTCTCGGTGACGCAGCGCCCCGCGATTGGCTGTGACTCCGCCCCTGCTGACGCACCGCTCGGTGATTGGCCGCGGCTGCGCGCGGCCCTATTTGAACGGCGGCCGTTGCGGGGCCGCCATTGAACGGGCAGCGGCGGTTCCAGGTCAGTTCCGCGGCCGCCCCGCGACACCGGGCAGGGCCAGGCCGGGCCCGCTCCACCCCCGCTCCAGCCCCACTCCCGGCCCGGGGCTCCCGCTCCATCCCAGAGCCCCGGCAGGGCCCCTTCACCCCCCCGTTATCCCAAAACCCTGGCAGAGCCGCTTCACCCCCGCTCCACCCCACACCCCGGGCCGGGCCGCCTCAGCCCCGCTCCATCTCCCACCCCGATCCCCGCTCCATCCCCGCTCCCTCGGCAGAGCCGCCACCCCTTGTCCCGGTCCGCCTCACAGCGCTCGTGTCCCGCAGGCTGGCGATGGTACGGGAGGATGACAAGGGCATCCCGGTGCGGGTGGCGCTGCGCTGCCGGCCGCTGGTGCCCAAGGAGACGAGCGAGGGCTGCCAGATGTGCCTGTCCTTCGTGCCCGGGGAGCCGCAGGTGAGGCTCGGGGGGTTCCCGGGGATCCCGCAGCCCCGGCGCGGTTACCAGCGCTGCCCCGTCCTTCTCCGCAGGTCATAGTGGGCAATGACAAGGCCTTCACCTACGACTACGTGTTCGACCCGTCCGTGGAGCAGGAGGAGGTTTTCAACACAGCGGTGTCGCCTCTGGTCCGAGGCATCTTCAAAGGTTTGTCCCATATCTCACTCGTTTGGAACCTGATCCTCTCCACAAAATGAGTGGGGTGTGTAAGGCAGCTTTCATGGATCGTTAGGATGGTTTGGGTTGGAAGGGAYCTCAAAGTCCCTCCATTTCCRYCCCCTGCCATGGGCAGAGACACTTTTCAATATCCCAAATTGTTCCAAGCCCCATCCAGCSTGGCCTTGGACACTCGCAGGGATCCAGGGGCAGCCACAGCTTCTCTGGGCACCCTGTRCCAGGSCCTCCCCACYTTCACAGGGAWRAATTCCTTCCCRATATTCCTCTGGCAGTGGGAARCCATTCTCCCTTGTCCTGCCACTCCAGGCCCTTTTAAAAAAATCCCTCTCCCTCTTTAAGAATAACACAGTGAATTGATAAACATCCTGTTCCAGGATGCTGCARTAGAACTGGGATGCCAGAGAAATGGTGCTGTGTTTCTGTTTAGCTCTAATAAAGCAGCAGCCAGTCTTTAAAAAGATCTGGAGTAATATTTTTATCTGTGTTTTACMRAGTTTTCATTGACCCTTTTTTCTCMATGTTCCTRACTGTGATCTGTKCTTAAAGCTGGTGTAATCTGATGATTTTCTGGAAGGGTGGTTYTCAAAAATGCAGCTTTGTGGTCCCCACGTGACTCATCCGGGTGCCCTTTGTTCCCCCAGGATACAATGCCACTGTCTTGGCCTACGGACAGACGGGATCTGGGAAAACCTACTCCATGGGAGGCACCTACACTGCCAACCAGGAGTATGAGCCCAGCGTGGGGGTCATCCCCAGGGTCATCAAGCTGCTCTTTGAGGAGAAACAGCAAAGGCAGGATTGGGAGTTCCTCCTCAAAGTTTCTTATCTAGAGGTAAAATCTTGGTTTTTATCCACCAAAGGGAGCTTAGGAGCCACCTCCTTCAGGTAGCAGATAGTGCTTAAGTTAAGCCCTAAGATTCCAGGAGGTTTTGTCAGGAACAGGATTCTGTTCCAAGGTATCTTTCCCTAAAGTTGAAATGGGTAGGATGTGATGCCAAATTAGCCCTAATTTCAGCATGACTGCACMTTTCTTTGGCTGGTAGCTCTGAGCTGCTCCTCTGCCACTTGCAGATCTACAATGAGGACATCCTGGACCTGCTGTGCCCCTCCCGAGAGCGCACCCAGATCAGCATCCGGGAGGATCCCAAGGAGGGCATCAAGGTCTGCCCTGCTGGGTGTGAGAGCAGGAGGGGGTGGCAACGCTATGGGGGGGCTGAAGGTTTTTTTTTGTAATTTTCTATCATCCCTAAAGCAGTGGGATGGGGCTCATCCGTGCTGGGAGCATCTCAGGATGGATCCTCAGGGAAAGCACAACTTGACAAGGAGCACATCCAGTCCCTCCTGCTCATCCCTTCTGTGGTTTGGGTCCCTGGGAGTTGCCTCTCCACCACTTTACCCACACAAATTCTCACCCAGCAGCCAGTTTTCCCCTTCCTGTGATTGGCACAGCTCCCAGCTTGGCCTGGGGTATCCRTGGATTTGTTCTTGGAGCCCAGCTGGCTCTGGAGCAGGCAGAGGAATTTGGGGGCTGTTTAGGAATAGGTGATGTGATTTCCTTGTTCCTCAAGAGAAATTCAGAACCAGTTTTTTTCCTGGGAGGCTCCATTCCAGGCCTCTGGCTGGAGGTGCCACTGCTTCTTGGGAATGGGCTGGCACAGTCTTAGGTGGGGGGAGAAAATTTTTCTGATCCCAGTTGGGATGAAGAGGAAGCAGAAGATAAACAATATTTCCTTGCTGGCTGCAGATTGTGGGGTTGACAGAAAGAAGTGTCACCTGTGCCCAAGAGACCGTGTCCTGCCTGGAGCAGGGGAACAATTGCAGAACTGTGGGATCCACAGCCATGAATTCCCAGTCCTCCAGATCCCATGCCATCTTCACCATCTGCATTGATCAGAAGAAGAAAAATGACAAGTGAGTGTGATTGTGGGAATTCCCAACATTTCCTTATCCTGATCCTGAGCTGTGCTTCCCAAGGCAGTTCAGTTTTTGGCTCTCTGAATTTCCAGCTCCTGGGCTGCTCCTTTTCCAACTGGAAGTTACCTGGGAGAGTAAAAGTTTCTTTCTGTCCTAGGAACACCAGTTTTCACTGCAAGCTGCACCTGGTGGATCTTGCTGGCTCTGAGAGACAAAAGAAGACCAAGGCTGAGGGAGACAGACTCAAAGAAGGTCTGTGGGCTCAGACTAATGGGGTTTGGGTTTCTTCTCACTTTGCAGTTAATAAAAGAACAAAGCACTCCTTTATCTGCTTTTTTAACCTTGTTAAAGTTTTAATAWGGAGCAYTTTGGAGCTGTTGAGSTGGCACTGCTCACTCTGSYCTTTGCCTGCAGGAATCAACATCAACAGAGGCCTCCTGTGCYTGGGGAATGTCATCAGTGCTCTGGGAGATGAGAATAAGAAAGGAGGGTTTGTTCCCTACAGAGACTCCAAGCTGACCAGGCTGCTACAAGGTGAGAGACAGATGATGGCAAAACCTTAATTTACAGTTGCTTTTAAAATAACAGAGTGGGAGAAACCCCACAGCAGAGCTGCTGCTGCAAAAAGATTCATTTATTTAATTCCTCAGTGAACCCAGACCTTTCYTGGACTCTGTTTTAGGTTGCAAATGCAGTGAGATGAACTCAAAACGAGTCCTGTTCTCCTGCACTTTGTGTGGCAGGAGGAAACAAGRCAAATTCAGGGCTTATTTTTGGTGGGGAGAAGGAAGATTGGAAGTCTGGGAGCTGAGATCTATTATTGTACCTTAATTATAGCAACTCCCTGGGTGATGTCACCGCCAGAATGAAGCTCAAGCTGTCTGTGCCTTCCCTGGGATTTGTTTTCTTAGTCTGAATATCTGGTCTTTATATTTCAACAGCTGAGATTGGTCTTTTCATGCATTTTATTTAATTTACCCTTCAATCTGGGCACAGCTTTAGCAATGAAGTTACTGGGATTTTTATGGTGATTACATAATTTAGTACAAAAACATTTCAGTGTTTTCTGTGTCTGAAAGTACCTCAATAAAAATCTGCATTGGGCTGAATGTGGGGGCTTTTTTTTTCCTGATCAGTAGCTTTAAGGTGCCAATTAGTGTAAAATCTAAGTATGAAGTTTGATGTGTATTTGTGACCTGTTTTTAGCCAATAATTCCTTAAACTGGAGAAAATTCTGGATATTCATGAAGGTCTTGTTATTGGGAGGCRGGGAGAAGGGAAGGGAAAACTTGAAAGAACCAAGCCAGAAATGCCATAAAAAAATTAATTCATAGGGCAACAATTGGAGTGAAATCTTTGGTTTCAAAACTGGACTTTGGCTTTCAAAAAACCACTTTAACACAGAACTGAGTGGGCAGAGGAGAAAGTAACGTGTGGCACCAAAATCCAGATATTTAATTTGCATTTTGGGGGGGCACTCATGGGATTGGAATCCCAGAATGATGATGTTTCACTGTCCTTGCTCTGACAGCTTTGATATTCCCTCTTTTCCTTCCCAGACTCGCTGGGTGGGAACAGCCACACGCTGATGATTGCCTGTGTGAGCCCAGCAGATTCCAACCTGGAAGAAACCCTGAACACTCTGCGTTATGCTGACAGGGCCAGGAAGATCAAAAACAAACCCATTGTCAACGTGGACCCCCAGGCAGCTGAGCTGCACCAGCTGAAGCAGCAGGTACTGGGGATCCCCTCTTTTTCTGAGCTCACACACACCAAGGCAAAGCACAGCCACACAAAATATGCAAAACATCYCTCAAGTGCATTGCTTTGTCCCTGGAGGGGCTGGGAAGGGAATATTTGGATATTTCTTGGAATTTTGCAGCAGTCTTAGCAAAGTGGTGGTGCTGGTGTGGTGGAAGAGAAACTTATACCAAATGATTGCCTGGTGGGCTCCAGGCACAGTTGGAAATACAGAGATGGTTGGGTGCCTTCCTGGCATCTYCTGCCTGTGCCCAGCACAGTGGGGTGATCCCAGAGGGAAGAGAAGAACCTTTTATTTGAGGAGTAAATGATTTGAAATACTGTAACAGCACCACTCCTTTG